TATTCGTCACGTCGTCATGAAACCTGGGAGGACAGACCGACTCAAGTTTGAGATAGACACCGGGGATAATAAGTTTCATAAAGCAGCCGCCCTACCGTGTGTCGATGGCGGAAGGGGAAGTCATGGAGGCTGAAGTGCAGCAATACCTGGATCTCGGGTTGATCAGGCCGTCGAACAGTCCATGGGCTAGTCCCGTCCTGATAATCCTGAAGCCGGACAGCAGAATTCGCTTTTGTATTGATTACCAGGAAGCTTAATGCTGTGACGGTGAAGGATTGCTATCCTATGTCACTGATTGACGATATCCTGGATGTATTAGGAGGTGCGCAGATCTTCTCTACGATGGACATCGCGTCCGGTTACTGGAAACGTGCCGATGGACGAGGGCAGCGTGGCCAAGACGGCGTTCACGTGTACGTTTGGCCTGTACGAGTGGCTGGTGATGCCGTTTGGACTCTGTAATGCGGTGCCGGCGTTCGAACGGTTGATATGATCGTCTTAGTGGACCTGAAGTGGCGAGTGTGCTTGGTGTACCTGGATGACTGTGTGATCTTCAGCAAGGATTTCCCTACGCACCTAGTGCGTGTCCGTCAGGTGCTGACTCGGTTCCGTGAGGCGGGATTCAAGCTCAAGATGAAGAAGTGTCATTAAGGGCGGAGTCAGGTGGCATTCTTGGGTCACATTGTGACGCCGGCCGGCATTCTGCCGAACCCTAAGAAAGTGAAAGCGAGGGACCTGCACGAGATTCGGTCGTTCTTGGGCCTGACGAGCTATTTCCGGAGGTACATCCCTGGATATGCGGCGATATCGGCGCCTCTGGAGAGACTGAAAGCGAAGGGTGCTCCGTTCGAGTGGAACGAGGACTGCGAGGCTTCGTTTCGGCAGCTGAAGAGAGCTCTTATGAAGCCTCCTGTGGTGTAGGGATTTCCAGATTCGACCATACGCCGACCTACTTTAGGTCAAGAATCGGCTCGGTCTGATAAACCAGAGCTTAGGAGCCAAGGATCACGGTAAGTACTCGGCGATCTGTCCGGATATGCTATCCGGACAGCCGCTGAGCTCAACGGTCGCCGGAACTCAGCTGAAGGGTCGGTAGAGATCCGAAACGACTACATTTCATTAGATATTTGTATGAGAAGCATAGGATTAAACAGGGGGAGCCGAAAGGGCTCCCAGAAGATAACAGAGCAGAATTTTCCTACTCCAAGACACGTGTACACTTTTCCGGTAAGTCCCTGCATAGGGCTGGATTATGCCTGCCGTCAATACTCGAGAGGCATAGCTTGTAGGGTATTGACTGGTAGCGCCAAGAGATTAGGTCGGTCCGGGTAGGACAAAGTCTCGCTACGCGCGAAAGAAAGTCCCGCATACTCAGCGGGCCGGTACGTCGGATAGCCCGGGTGCCGTAACACTTCTAGCTGAGCTGCCTCTGCGCTCGGTGACCTGTAAAAGCGCTCGCGCGCCGTCGTCCATCCTTTGGTGGAGGGCACAGGGTTGTGAACGAGCTCAGCCGAACCAAACTCGGCGGAGCCTCGGAAGTGATCTGACTTGGTTAGTCGGAACCGGGTGGAAGCGAGTCCACTCGTCTGTCCCGGAGGACGGACCGCGAGGGGACCACCCTCTGCGCAGG